AAGAACTGGGACAAGACAGGCTTGGCTGAGCCAAAGTGTCACACCTGCTGGTGCATGCAAACACTAGTGGTTGGCCATCACAGATTGGACCACAGGACCTGCTGGCATATGTAAAACCCAGGGCTGGGAGTGGGCTTGTTAGGGAAACTTCAGGGACTCCATTTCTGGGCTTCTGCTTCCATTGGTGAGTGAGAGCTGGGACTTGGAGTGGGTCAGGCTGACCTAGGCCACAGCACTAGCTGTCAAGTGCCTGGACCAAATGCAAGACATGTCAGACTGAACCCTGGCAGGCCTAAGATCTGGGGCTGGGAATATGCTTGGCAGGGGAACTGTGGTTACTCCCCTTCCAGGCTGTATCTATCACTGGTGAGCACAAAAACCAGGGCTGGGGGCAGGTCTGGCTAGACAAGGTGGCAACACCTCTTGGCATATGTGAGGGTTGGGTCTGGGGTTGAGTTGGGCTGGGTTAAACTGTAGCATCCACAGGTATGCATGAGAACCAGATGGGATATGGGTTAGACCAAGCTAGGCCACAGCAGACTGGCATGTGCAAAAAACAGGGCTGTGGAAGACCTGGTGGGGGTTATTGAGGGTCACCCCAATTAGGCTGCTGCACCTAATGGTATGTGTGAGGGCTGGGTCTGTGGTGGACTGGTTGGGCTGGGCCAGAGCACCTATTAGAGTGAGATATGGGGCTGGGGTGGAACTGGCCAGGCAGTTGCATCCATTTGTACGTTGGCTGGTACAGGTGACAAACTGCACCTTACCCTGTACTAGCTGGTGCGCATAACAGTCAAGTCAGAGGTCACTGTAGGCGAGGTGTTGTGAACTCCCTGACTGGACCACTGGACTGGCCACAAAGAAAATCATAGGATGTTTGGTCAGACCTTGGAGTGCATGCTTCGGGACTGGGCCTCTTCACTTGCTTATGCCTATACTGTGAGCAGCATGTCCAGATGTCCACAGGGGACATGATGGCCAGCGCAGCTAGGCCAGCAGGGGACAGTGAGTGATTCATTAGAGGGTGAAACAATTGTGGCTAAGCTGTGCACACGTTCCGGGGTCTGTGCATGCGTAAAGGTGGAGACTGTCAACTAAATCTTGGAAAGATTTTTTTTCAATCCTGAAGCAACAAAACCAACTTCTCAGAACTATTAAAACCACTCAAGTAACACTCAGAACATTCTTGCCCACATTGGGTCTCTAAGGTGTCATCAGGTGACTGCCCTGCCCCAGGGGCAAAGAACGGCTCCTTTCCCTTCTGCCCCTGCAGACACAGGAGGAAAAAACATCCTGCAGCATTTGTGCCACCCAGCTTCCTTCATACCTGACCCTCCCGCCCTAATCAGAGGCCCACATGGGCATGCATCCCTCTCACCTATATAAACAATATTAAAAATCTTAAACACATAAAACCTGTGATTTGCAATGGATTAATGCTAATGATCTTTCTGTCCTACCCAATATTGATTTATTTCAAGCTCTAATCTATTGGCCAACTAGAAATAACTAGATGCCTCTCACACCCCTCCTTTAAAAACTTCACACTGAGTTAGGGCTTTTCTGAATTATTGATATTGGACTTGAAAGGAGCATACCTGGTAGAACTGTTTCCATTGCTGACGCACGGGAACCCAGCTGAGTTTCTTAGATATTGAATTTGCATTTGGCAATTTTGCTGAGCCTTTCCATTTATGACATAATTTTCACCCACCATCCTGGCTCTAATTAAAGATGAAGTCCATAGTTTGTATTGTTATGTGAAACTTTTCTCCAAAAATAAAGTAAATTACAAAATGCTATAGGCTGTCTCAACTTTATTACAATTTCAAATAAAAAGATGCAGAAGTGCCAACAGCTTCTTTTCATGGGTATCAATTTTCCTTAAGTGCATTTGTCAATGCACTGATAAAGTCTTCCGCAGGTTTTGACAAAAGGACTTAATGGATGTGGCAAAGCACCAGGCTGTAACCCTCACCACCACCACCACAGATTAACAGTGACTGCGACTCAGACCAAGCTAGGCCGGTGGATACAGTACCCAGGATACAGTACTCATCATCAGTAACACCCACATGGAGCCGTGCAGTGAGTCAGCTGCAGATCTCACAGATGCAAAACTCAGAAAGGCAGAGGCTGTACTTCCTATGGGAGAAGTCTGCACTTCGTCATAGTGGCTGTTAGGAAATGATTCACTTGGAGTTGATTTTGAGGACAGGGCTGGACCCACATCATTTGGCAAAGACTTTTACAAGGCCTAGAACTGACAGCTGTTGGCTATTATAATGCCCACTGTGGGGATACACTTGTTTATTTTTAATATTAAGCTTAACATGAAAGACTGTCTTTTTGATTGAGTTTCTAAATGTGTTAACATAAATAAAGGATTTTTAAGGTGTTCTAGAAATGAAAGGTTTAAAATAGGTTCAATGGTAAAACCAACCAAGGATCCCAGTTTCTAACCACAGAAAAATGCAACTGTTCCATAAACATTTAAACATACATTATCTCACTAGCAATCGCTGTTTAGCTTTCACATCTCCGCGATCTGCAGCTGGTTCTGTGCCACTCTATTACTTTATGTTGTGATTCTTTAGTTGGTTCTCGGACATCTTACCGCGGACACAGGTAAATTCAGGGAGGTACCACAGCAATAGTCATAAGCTCTAATGTCTTAAGTAGAGAACACATTGCATCTTGTAGTATTACTAAGTATTACATCGAATCTTCTGTTCATCTTCACCAATCCTAATTATTAGACAGTACTCCACAGCCATCAGATTGGCACATTGCTTCTCAGATATACAGTTGCCATTTATGCTCCTCCAGCATGGATCTTTTGGCCCAGGGTGTTGGATACTGTATTTACCAATACGCTTCTGCACACACACACGGTGGTGTGGCACAGGCCCTTAGAGAGGTCATGAGAGTGGTTTTCAGCAATGGCTGCGAGTACAAGTGTAGTATGTGGCCTCCCATTGGTGGAGTGGCTCTCCTTTCCTTGACCTTCCCATTGTGAGAGACATCCATGCAGTTCACATAGTACAGCTTCATTAGCCTTGATCTTTACCGATCCACATGTAGTGTGAGTGAAAAACATCTATGTGGCTGAACAACTAGTACTGTAAAAGAAATAACTTAAAAGTCCAACATCCAATGATGTTCTCTTGGTTATGACCTAAAAATGGAGTTGTTGGACATTAATACAAAAATGTGGCAATGAATTCACATTCCTTAAACATGAGTTAGGGAAGCCTAGCTTGTCCTACTTTTAGATGCAGAAATAGAATGTTTCCCATTAAGAAGCTCAAAGTGAACCGTGCTACTCATATGGCAGACACTGGCACACGAACACTGGACATCTGGCTAGGGCAATTCAGGAACAATAATTAAAACTGGAGCATTGCAAACTTTCCATTAAAAAGTGCTTGGTGATTCATTGAACTGCTTTTACTAACCAAAATTTTAACATTAAAATTGCAGTACACTGCAAGTCTAAAATGCATATCCAGTTCCCAAACTTTGTAAAAGAAAGGATATTTCATTAATCTTGTAATAAATGGCTTAAATGTTTTAGATCTATTGAGTCCAATCAAACACTTAATTTTACCCATTCCTTTTATTCTTTAAATGTAGCTACACTTGGGCTTACATTTTATTTCAATAGTGCTGTCCTAGACTAAAACCAAAATCCTTAGCATGGCCTCACTTTCCAGCGAGTATTTGATCATTACTGACATCTATGGCAGCTCAGCGTTACCGATGGCAGTGACACACGCTGTGCTGCAAAGGGCTTTACAAATAAGAGTGGTGTGGTGCACTTCCAGGTGCATGTAGATCTGGTAAATCATTTCCTAAATATATATGATTAGTGACTGCCACTTAGAGCTACAGTCTTGTGTCTATTTCTGCCCAACTTCTCATTCCATTCATCACACACATATTAGTCAATACTTTCTTTAAAACACTCAACAGGAGCTACTCAGGAAGGAGGCTTATAGTGCAACACCGGGAAGTCCCACAAGTCTGCTGTGAAGAGGGCAATCACTCGATGAGGCAGAAAGCAGAGGAAATAGGCTGAACTTGGCTTTAATCTACCTTCTTAGGTCATCCCAATGGCCTAAAAACCTCCCACTCTACTTCCTCAATATCAGAATCAGATCAAGTTTCCATCATTAATTCAGCCATCAGTAAAACTGAATCCACGGCGGTTTAAATGTGCGAGCCAGAAAGTTAACTCCTGTTCAAATCTTTGTACAATGTCCCAGCCACCCATGGTAGTACGCACTCCAGGCATGTCCTCTAGGGTTCTTACCTGACCCCTGCTTGCTCAACAGACACAAAGTGAGTCGCACTAACTAATCCTGCAGGATTTAACGATGATGACTATTTCAAGTCAGAAAAATAATCAGCCAAATTAACTCTTTTCCTCAAGGTCATCAGTATTTATAAAATTCTCCTTTCCCCTTTCGACTGCCTGGGCTTTAGTGAAAAAAAAAATTAAGCATATTCTTCAAATATTCTCATACTCTTCCCTGCCACACTTGTGGAATCCAGCGTCACGGATCAACTAACTATCTGGAGAGGCGACATCAGGAATGCAGCTACAGTCACATGCCCCAGGAGTCTCAACGACTGTCTAGGAACTCTCCACCCTGTCACCTCTCCGGCTGGAGGCTAGCCACAGAAAGAAGGGCAACTGCTTATACACGCCACCCTCTGCAGAGTCGGCCATCACGGCAGGAAAACAGCAGCTGCTGCTGTCCAAACTAGCACCACTTGTAAAATGTAGCCAGAGCAACTCATCCGTCACTTGTTCAGGATACACTGAGGGGATTCAAGTCGTCTGTTGCAGGGAAGAATACCTTTGTGTGATTCAGAAATGAAAGGACAGGAAAACTTTACTCCTTATATATAAAAATCTGTGCCAACTTCTACATCTATACACAAATGTTTCCAAACCAGAGCAGCAGACACACTGTTAACACAAGAAACCATAATGCTTTAAACATGGTAAGGTTTTATTTTCTGCTCATATATATTACATATTCAAAAATTACTCAAAAGGCTGAGCAACATCTTCTCTTCATTTGGTAGGATGGCTTCTACATGTCCAAAGGAGGATAGAGCCGTGGATGGTGAATACATTGCTTAGTTCAGCAAACAGCATCTGGCCCAGAACAGGGCTCACAAAATGTTGTGGGCTGGGGCTAAAAATGTGAATAAAATATAATCTATTTGAATGTACACAGAGTCAGTGTTGCTTTTATTAAAAACAAAACTTGTACTCTATTTGTCTATCATAAATATAACAAGGTCATCTCATTTCTGGTTCCCAAAAGTAAGAAAACCTACTTTAAAAAATAAGCTTAAAATGGTTCTGTTAGTACTATTAACAAAATGCAACGACTGGAGGCCCTTCACAACCAAGGTGAGAGTACCACTACTCGGCACGGTTTCGCCCCACTCCCTCCAACTGTTAGATGCTCATTATGTTTATACGCGTGTTAAGCTATTCTCTAGATTTCTTTATTAGGGAAGATGGCCACATTTGTCTCCCCATTTTTTATGACTTGCAGGAACTCCTTAATTTTATAAAGTACTATAGTTATAAAAATTCCCCAAACTTCTGCTACATATTCTACTCACAAAGTTCAGCTGCACAAGTACGTAAGTTGTTTCTGAGTTAATACTCGAAAACTAGCTGATGCTGCATGACGTTTTTCGTGTCGACATTTAACACGCACCTGACTTGTGGTCTAGCCAGTCAGAAAAAAATCCACTCAACTGGGAGACACAGAAAAATAAAAGAAACACATCCTTCCCTGTTCCTAGTTTCTTAGGGGTAGTCTCCCATGCCGGAAGGTAACAAGGGTAAAACTTCAGAATGTTCTTCACCATGCAACAGCACCAAATGAAAACACAAGGACGTGGTGACACGGCGAGTCCCCTGGGGTTTCTGCTTGTTCATTCAAACCAGAGCCCAGCACTTACTGTGCTTTCATTTTCTAAAAACATGATCAGAACACTATAAAAATGTGCTTCCAAAATAAATTACTTTTAGAATATAAAACATTTTACATTCTTCTAGTCCACACTGTAAAATAGGAAAACAGTTGATTCAATATTCACATGGTAAAAAATATGAATACATATAGAAGATGTAAATTTAAGTAAATACCAACTTAATAATCATGTATTCAATCGCAAATAAGAAATGTAATCTAATGAGAACCAACTTGAAAGGAGTATAATCCCACCTATAAGGTAATTTAAGACTTTTCCATGTGAGAAAAATCAGGATTTTCTGATTTTCTCGACTGAAACCACTGCGTTTCCAGATGTTAGCAGGTTGACTCGCTAAGGATAGTCCTCGCAAGCAAGCAAGCAGCTTGGGGCGGTTGGTGGCTGTGCTGGGTTCAGTGATTGGCTTTGTGAACAAGTGAGGTCTTGCGTTCAATCCTGTGTTGCACATGCCACGCCTTTCACAGCATGCCTGAGCTTTGCCTATGCAGAAGGTAGACTTTTCCCTTCTGTTAGACTACCTTGACATCTGTCCAGAGAGGGAAAGTGGAATGAATGCTTTCCTAGGATGGGTGAGCAACAGGGAAAGCATGGCTGCTGGCAATGTGCAGTACATCATCACCAGCAACGAGATTCAGTAACCCTGTCCTCATTACCCTAGCAGAGGCAGCAGGGCATTTCCGTTTTGTTGATTCCATTAGTTATATCAGTTAAGGTGCTTCAGAAGCACAGAAGGCAAAGGGGCAGAGGTGAGTAGGGAAGCTATCCCACTCCACACAGACAACGGCTGAGAGACTAAGTTGTGGCCTGGGAAGCAGAGTCCACGGTCTGCCGTTACAGGCAACATCAACCAGTGGCTTGCGGATGAATTCCCAAATGAAAATTAAGTCATGCAATTTCTTTCACAATCTTTTTTGTAAGCCGAGTTTGAACTATCTTCCCAGTGATTATTTGTTAAGAAGACTTCCTCTTATGTTGGCCACTTCCTTCGTCTGTGATAGTGGTAAATGCAAAGACTTATTTTTAAATATTTTCCTATGGAAGCCATCAAGTTTTTGTTTGTAAAAGGGCATGATCCCTAGCCAATTATCATAAACCAAGATTTTTAAACGAAAGTTTAAATACTTAAAGTATTTTTGTTCAGCTCCTAACACTTTTTGAAGCAGCAAATCCAGACAATTCCTTGGGACCATTTTTGAAAACAGCCAACAAAAGCAAGACTCTACTATAGCAGAACTTCCCCAAGTATTACAGATTGGGGGTAGGATTTTAAAAAATGGACATTTTACTATAACCAAATTTAAGGTACTAATAGACACAATATAACTTATGTAACAAATATTCAGGAAATGAGTTAAAGCAGAAGGGAAGTGGATGTGCACATCAACACATAAATTTAATTCTTCAGTAGCATTTATATAAAACATTCTCCACTTGCCCCTCTCAATGATTAGAAAAAGTGTCTATCTACTAGGAAACAGGGGTGCTACACAAAGAATTCAGATGCTCCTGAAGGAAACTGCTGGAAAGTTTCACATCCTCTCACCACAAAAACACATGTCCATTAGTTTGTGCGCATAATTTCAGGGCTTCCAACACCTTCTGAAGTCCAGTCACAAAGCTCAGGTTAAGAGCTTTCAACATTGCTAAAGGGGCTCTGAACAATTAATCATCTTGTCGTTTCTATCATCTTTATTTCTCCTACTGAATCTGGAACAGGCATCTCAAACCACAGGGAAAAAAACTGCTTCAAGGACCCAATTTTTGCTCATTTGCCACTGGAAGAAAGAACATCCCAGTCTCTAGTTGCTTCTATCAAATGTCGTTGGCCATGACTCATCCACTCTTCCTGGTCTTCATAAAGCCGCCCACAAAACCAGCACTTAAAAATACACTGTGACGAGTCATCAGGCAAGGAATCCACTACCTGGTAGTTGTTTTTATGCACTTTTTTAAGCTTCATTTTCAACATCATTTGCCTTTTAATCTGATTAGCTTCCTCCACATTCTGATAGGTAAGCCGGACGTGATGCCTTCGGATGCCGAGCTGACACCTTGTCCTCTCCGATAAAACAACTTTGAGGACATTGCCTTTATACTTATTGATTACCTTCATGACGTTGGTCACTTCTGGTGAGTCAACATCGGGGTGGTTTAACACAATGACTGGCTGATTCCGACGGGGACATTTAATCAACTGATCTGGCTTAGCAGCTATCAGTCGAAGCTGTCGCGCAACCTGAAAAATTGAAGGATCCTTGAGACAGCGGCTAGGATCAGCCTGAACCTTGCTTTTCTTCTTGGATGAGCTTGCTTGTCTGATTTTATTTCTACTTGTGGGAAAATTCCTGGAAAGCAGTTTTCCCTGTTTATTCAGTTCACTGCTTCCTTGTTGTCCAGGAGTAGTGCCTGGTTTTTTAGGGGTGGTGCCACAGTGAACGGCACTCTCTTTTCTCGGTTTAGGACGAAGAGATGTCTCAAGACCTCGGGACATGTCCATGGGCCTCGCTTCACAGCTCAAAGCCTGCAGGTCTGAGCTGGTCTGTGTTACAGGGCACAATGGAACTGGGCTTAACTGTGCTTCACTGCAGGGTATGCCGACAGGTGCTTCACATGTGGCCTCTATAATTTGAGCATCCTCGGACGAATTGAGAACCCTCAACACAGCTCCTTTGGGGATCAATACTGGAGTAGCGACATGAGGTTTCCTGGTCACTCTGCCTTCGGTTTTCCCATCGCAGCCATCTATACACTTTGGATATATCTGTGGATGAGCAAGCGGTTCACTGCCGGTATCACTGTCACCATCCTTGGCCTTGTGAAGGGCACCTGCAGAAGGGCCAGGGTCAGCGACAGACACACTAACTTCCTGGACACTTTCAGGACTAGCTTTCGAAGTTACTTTGGATGCCTGCCCTACTGAACGACGATGCGCACTATTTGCAGCCAATGATGAAGGCTTGCCACAGGATTCAATCAACTGAGCTATCTTCCTGCGCAGCAGTTCAATTGACTTTATTTTGGAGGTTGAACTGTTCCACTTAACGCCCTCAGGGACATTCTCAGATCCAGAACTCAGAGAGAATACTGACGAGATGACTGGACCGTCAAAAGTGTCTGTAGTCCTCTCAGAGTCCTTTAATTCCAAAGAGTTCTCTCCAGCCTGTTGAGACTCCAATCCATCTCCCCCACGCAGCTTTACAGGGGAACATTCACTTCTGCGCTGAGAGGAAACTGGGCCTGTACTTGAAACTGCTTTTTGTTCTTCTGTCTTCCTACTAGAAGAAATTGCTTTTACAAGACTGCTAATCTTACTTCTGGACTCTCTGTCACTCTCCTTTAAAGGCAACGAGCCTTTTTCTCCAGGAAAGGAAATGGCTGGAGGTGATGCAAGAGGAAATAAGTGCTGTGAATCAGCAGGCAAATTTCTTCCATCTTCAGCCCAAGAAAGGGCAGCTGTATAAGCAACTGGGTTTGAGGAGCCACCAAGATTACATAAAACACTGTTTTTCACTATAGATGCTGGAGAATGACCTTTTAAGGAAAGAGAAGAAAGGGAAGTTCTATGTGGATACAAACTGTTTTTTTTCTGCAAATCCTCCATTGTATCAGACTTGAAAAAGGACTCTGCAGGGTTGTGCACACTAGAATTTGACATGAAAAAATCACAAGACTTAAGCCATTTAACATTCTTAAGCTGTTTCTGAACCGAAGATTGAAGACTATTAATGTCTACAATTTTCCCAACATCCCCCTCAATTGTTAATGATTTTGTTTTTTCTGCGGAAACCACTGTCTGTTCACTTGAAGCCTTCTGTTTACCCATATGCTCTGAATTGCTTCCTTTATCTTTACTGGCTTCAAGGCAGCTATTTTCTTCCAGTGGAAACAATTTCAGAACCAGCTGCTGAGTTCCATTGACAACCTTCACATCTATCAGCTGGGCTAGACAGTTAGCTGGGACAACAAGTTCAGCTGGTGCCACTACTGTTAGCGGCATCCCTGGCTGCACAGGCTCTTTAGCAGGGGACAACACTTCCACTTCCACGCTTTTGTTCTCCAACAGACCGACTTCATTTGGCTTGGACAGTGTCGCTTTATTTGGAATACACACTACATCTTTCTGGTATTCCTTTGGTTCAGGCAACACCATAATATTGTGCATTTTATCTTTATTTGTATGGATAGAGAATCTTGCAAGTTGATCTGATAACTTGTTTTGAAACGCAGTCCTGGGATTAGAAGCTTTTAACAGCTCTGGGTTTTGCTTTGAAGCATTGGTTCTCTTCGGCTCCAGCTTGGCGACAGTTCGGAAGGGCCTCTTTGCGCCCGCTCGCTCGTGGACTCTCTTCCTGTGCTTGACAATATAATCGTTTCTGATAGCACCGTAGTCACAGTATTCACAGCGATAGGGGAACACGCCCGTGTGCTTCACCAGATGCCGCTGGAACTCTCCTTTAGTGTAGGAAATGCAGCTGCAGTGAGAGCAGATGAATTTAATCTCCTCGTGCTGAAGCATGTGCTTCCTGTACTGCAGCGGGTCTTTGGTGGAGAAGCGGCACTTGTCACAGTAGTACTTGCCTGGCTTAAAGTTCCTTACCTTAAATTTGCTATTATTGACAGGACTGGAGATGGTTTCGGTTTCGTTTCCAAAATGAGTCGCACTCGGATTACCGTTGACAAACGGCAAATGGAGAGGAGTCGCATCGAGGTTGCATTTGAAGCAGATATATTTGTCTTCCTTGGGACTTTGCCCAGTACCCTTTTTCAAATCCCGAAGAGGAATTCTGTGAACACTTTTGCATTTTACACACGTAGCAATGGTCATCATCGCCTCAGCCTCCGAACCTTGATACAAAAGGGTTTGCGCTTCTTGTCTATCTGGTCGAGTTGCTCGATTGGCGTCGGGTTGTTTGGGTGACATGGTCAAGGAATTAGGTCCACCCTTCATTTGTGTAGTGTATAACTGTTCTCCAATATCCTTCATCTTCTTTATCTGCATGTCTAAAGAGCCGACTGAAAAAAAGATTTCATGAGATAAAATCCTCTGTAGGCATTCTTCAGTTCAGAGCAGCAGGGCGAATACTTAGCAGCCTTCTGCAATACTATAGGAAGACAAAATCATAAAGCACGATTACTACAAACACTTCAGGCTAGCTAAGCTATTACCAAACTGTAAGCTAAGTCTCAACATGAGATCTTAAACAGGAGCTGGCAAACAAGCCTAAATTGAAAACATATCAAACTCTGCCAGCTAGAACTAGAAATTACCAGGTTAGACAAGCACAGACGGATACATCAGAACGACAACATAATAGCAACCATTTTAGTACAATCTTCCATCAGGGAAAGTCATTTTACAACACCAATGTGTACATCCTACAGTTTCATAGGTATAATTTCATATTGGCCCCAGAAAAATTTTGTATAAGACACTGTCAGTCCAGTTTTTGAATATATATTATCAAATAGTAGAGCTGGGTCTTTGGACCTGTTTTCAATGTTTCTACATTTTAATTCATTACATCTTAGACACCAACTTCTTGCTCCACCAATTTTCTTTCACATGTAGTAAGAAGTCAAAAATTCTGACAATATGAGGAAAACAAACAGCTATTCCTTTTAACATCTTCCTATTAAGCACCAGTTACTATTCTCAGTGTTGGAGGTCAGCGAGCAAAAGCAAAACCAGTTTCTACATTCAAGACGTGTACATCACAGAACAGCGAAACAGCCTATATCTCTGCCAAATGATGCTAACATACCTGGGAGAAAAATACGATCAAACAAGAAGGATCGGGAATGCTAGTGGAGTAATGAGCTAGAAGAGCTGTGATTTGGGGATGGACAGCTGGGAGGGACCTCAAGAGACTCAACTGTTTAGAAAGAAAAACGTTGTTTCAAGCAAACAGAAGACAAGCTCACAGGAAGTGGGCCTAGTACATAAAATAAGAGTATCCAAAATCAAGAGAATAAGGAAAGGGGGAAGGTGAGGCTGAGGCAGCTAAGGTGCAGGGACCAAGCCCTTCTCAGCCCTTTGGGTGGTGAATGGCGGCGGGATGGAGCGCGAGGGGAGTGGTGGCAGCAGCGGGGGCTCGGCCGGGCTCCTGCAGCAGATCCTCAGCCTGAACCTCAACTCCACTTCGCTCTGCTCCTTCCCAGAGATGTGGTACGGGGTGTTCCTGTGGGCACTGGTGTCGTTGCTCTTCTTCCATGGCCCTGCTGGATTACTGGCCCTCTTCACCCTCAGACATCACAAATATGGTGCAGCAATTGCAGGAGTATACCGAGCAGCAGGGAAGGAAATGATACCCTTTGAAGCCTTCACGCTGGGCACGGGACAGATCTTCTGTGTGGTGGCAGTCTCCTTCCTGTGGATTTTAGAGACTCTGTAGCATATACCGTTTGCTGTGATGTGGAAACAGTTTCATAGAGCCCTCAGAAAAAAACAAAACACCAAGCGGGATGTTTCACATAGAAGCCAGGTGGACAAGCCACATGGACAAGCCGGAGTGTGAGCCCCAGCATCCAGCCGTGTCTTGGGTTTGACGCGCCAGAGACTGCGATCTTTGCAGAGTCTTGTCATTCTCCACTAAAGCAGAACAAGTTTCTTGGCATTTTTTTTCCAGATATTTAAGTGGCTTAATACACTGTATTTTTCCAAAGGTAGGCCAGCCGTGTCACTGGGTCAGCGTTCCTTGCACTCTTGAAATTTATAATATTCTGTGAGAAAATGCAGTGTCGCATACTTGATACAAACTGTGGAAAATGCTAGTTTCTTTCAAATGAGCAGAGTATGTTGTACTACAAGCCTAACTGATGTAACCTTGATTAAAATTTGGCAAACTGTTCTTTTGTTACCTCTCGTGACAGTAAATGCCAGGTTTTTGTTGAGGACAGCTTTGAGAACAAATATGATGAAATACAGTAGGAAAAAAAGAAAGTATAACCCAAGGAGTGGCTTTGGTTCCACTGTTGGAGGACGAAGTAGGTAGCTGTTGAATAATTAGACATTTTGTGGATAACTATCCTGACCTCCAGTTATTTAATATATATTAAAAGATGTGAATTTGTTTTCTTGTACATTTTATCAAAGTAAGCTTGCCAGTGGAAACCTATATTTTAGAATTTCTGTATTGCTTTTTCTATCTTATTTACTTCTTTTATTTAGTTTAACTGGACACATACCTGTATTAACTGGGTTGTTTAAAATTTTAAGCCAGATTTATTAGAATGTTCATTAGATACTGGGGCACAAATAAGATACTTTGTGAACATTTTCTGACACTTAATGAGTTTGCTCTACTGGTGGCTCTTTAGTCTCAGCTGTTTCTTGAGTTGGTGGTGGCTCATTTCTTAGTCTTAATATGTTTACCAGGAACTGGGGAGTCCTCAGACTTCCTTACAGTATTGGATATTGACTCCCATAAAGTGCCTGAAGTTTCATTTCCATTATACACCATCTCTGTCCTTTATATTTTTATTCAAGAGCATTAAATAGATGAGGTCTTAAAAGCCTCAGCTTTAGCTATTTTAATTCTTATCCTACTATTTAAACTTTTTCATTAAAAGGCCGGAAAACTGTGACCTTCAAAAAAGGATAGGTAGTAAAACTTAATTACCCAGCTTGATTCTTTCCAGCTAAACAGTTTGGTATGAAATACAGCTTCTTGTATAAATCTGACATTTTTAAAAGGAGAGTTTTCCTGGTGCGTTTAACGCCACGGCTCCCGAGGTCATGTGCACATGACTGTGGATCCATTGCATTTAAAGTATTATGCATTCTTGTTTTTGCTTAAAAATGCCCAGGAAGACCAATTTTTGAGGGGTAATCATAAGAGAAAACTGACAGAAGAATCTGAAAAATTAGCTGGATATTTCCTCCTACTTAGCTCACTTATCAAAATTATGGGAGCATGTACTCAGGAGATTACAGGTAGAGTTGGAATGAAAACACGTATCTTTTCTGATTTCTCCAGCAAGAAATTCAAAACTCTGCTCCAGGCAGTTTTAAAAATTCAGTTTTCACTGCACAGAGTTTCATTTTGGAAATTATTCCTTCATTTAAGGAACTGGGGCAGTTGTATATTTTTGTTTTAAAGATTTATTTATTTTACGTGAAAGCGAGTTAGAGGAAGAGACAGGTCATGCATCTGCTGGTTCACTCCCTAGATGGCCACGACAGCTGGAATCAGGCTGGTCTACGGCTAGGCTGGTCAGAAGCTGGGAGCCAGGATCATCTTCTGGGTCTCCCACATGGATGCAGGGGCCTAAAGTGTTGGCCCATCCTCTGCTGTTTTCCCAGACCATTAGCAGGGAGCTGGATTGGAAGTGGAACAGTCAGGATTGAACCAGTGACCAGATGGGATGCCGACACCCCAGATGAGTAGTCCATCATGCCACTGCTGTGGCCCCTGTTGGATGCTATCGTTATCATCTTGGAAGAGTAATGCCTCCTGTTAAAAGTCTTACCTAAAACTTACTTTTGGATGTAATTTCACAGTTCCCTATAAACTGGAAACTAATTTTTAAGCATACTGATCTGTAATTATAACATTAAGTTTTTTTTCTTTAGAGGCAGGACACAAAATTAAGGAATTTTGAAAGATGTCTTTGTTTCTTGTTTTACATACTGTCTTCCTTTTTGATTTAAATCTTCAAATATAAAATGCATCTTCTAGTAATTGAATGTGTCATCTATCACTGTGAAACATTCGACTGTGGATAATTGGATATAGACTTTCCATAGAGTAGGTATGGCTTGAAATTTTTCAGGGAGAAACTATTTGAACGATAAAGAATGTCTATTTCATCTGTTTTCTTTTCCTTTATGATTCAAATACAAAATTACTGAAGAGTGATTGCTTGGTTGGCAGTTGTATTACACATTTTACTTTGCCCTTTATCACTTTCTGGAAGTTTTTGTTCACTAACTTTCTTGGAAACACATGCAGCCACCATTCCCCATTCCCTCAGTTTTGCTTCGTTTGTTTCTTTCTTTTGTTTTTGTTTGTGTGTGTGTGTGTGTGACAGGGCAGCAGCTTATAACCGTAATAGCTGATTTCTTGATTCTCACTTGTTTAATTTGCTTATAACTAGTGAGAAAAAACACCTGCACATAATTACATCCTGCCTTAGGTTCTTCAAGTTTTAAATCATGTGTTGACTTTGGTTCTGGTGTCTTTCGTGCCCTGACCCGATTCAGCGTGCATGACACGCGGTGCACTGACACCCAACCTCCCCGAGGAAGCTTTTTCTAGAATGTGCCATCCGCAGCCCCCACGCAGGAAGTGTTACGAACTGGTGAGTCTTTCCTGTGCATTCTGTAAGGTTGGCTGTGACAAAAATCAGCCTTACTTTTTTGTATTAGCTTATTACACCAACTGCCACAGTCAAAACGATCAATTCTTTGTATGATACAAAAATTATTTAAATTTTAATTTTCTACTGACATTCCTAATTCTAGTGTAAACATTTATCAATAAAGAATTACTTTCAATCCTGTGGGAAGAAAACAATAAGGAAAGGGTAGGAAGATGGGTGAAGACCCATAGCACACAGTGTAGGGAAGTGGCTCCCTTCCATGCAAGTCAGAATCAGGGAGACGTAGCAGTGGCATGATAGAATCTGATTTGCTTTCCAACCGCCACCTCCAGCTGCTATGAGGACGACTCTGCGACAAACAAGGGCAGCAGGTAGATTGGGACTAGCTTAGTTTGGGGAAGAAAGGTGACAAGTATTTTGAAAAACAAGCTCTCCAATACTCACTTATGTGCAATACAGTGACTAATTCTGATAATTCTAAATACTTCTGGAACATAAATTTAGGAACCAAACATAAACCATTCTAGTTTGGAATCTGATCAAATTCCTTTTTTAAATTGATTTCTAAAAGTGACTTAAGTATTTTGACATTTTAAAAAATCTCATTTGGCAATTAGAATTAAAGACATTTGTTCAATCTCTCCCACAAAATTACCATAGTGTCTAAAACAGGCAAAGAGAGGCACTCGGTTAATGCCTACTTGGCGAAGGCAGCAGTATAAGGGATGATTACCAGCTACTGTGGCTAAGAGCTTGAGAAGTCAACTGGAAAAGCTGGCAGGGAACTGGGGGTGGGGGTGGGCAAGAAAGCCTCCCAGTAAGTCAAGAAAAAAACGCCTGTCTGGCACCAAAAAGCAAAACAAAACATCTTCCCTTTTAAAAGTACCAACAGAACTTCTTATATTTAGTAAGCTGTCTTTCCTTTGTAGTACTGTCTTTTCCTATATCCCTTTGGGAAAAGTGTTGAGCTTCTTTTAAAGGCAATTCTCAGGGTACAACTCAGCCCTGGCTTCTGGAGATGCAATTCCTTTCCCCACCACAAGGGCACATATCAGGCATCGAGAGGACAGAGGCTGGTGGGGCTCAAGGTCGTCCATCTCAGCTGTGTTCAGATGTGCCAGCCATGCAAGGGAACCGTTCTTGAATGGAACACATGAATGCCTCCAGCTGACAATGAATGAGTATGGGCAAAGGCAAGGCTTCCACTGTCCACTACACTGCAGCTACGGGCAGGGCAAGACTGAAAAGTCACCCCGAGCTGAGTGGCACCAACAAGTTTTACTGACGCTCTCTCAAGCAAGCCACCCACTTTGCTCATTTACAAATCAAAAGCTTAGAGCATGTAAATTTATAAGCGCAGCATGATATTGCTGCACCCTGAAACCACAGACTTTTATCACCTAAAGTGTTACTATGATTGTGTCATGTTAGTATCTGCATCCAGCAAGACAGAAGTCATAACTATAATCTGAGAAAACCACAGACCCAACGGATGCAGAGGATGGAGGTGGGTGATAAGGCAGACACGATACAATGGCTCTGAATCAAATCAGGAGCAGTATCAAAGTCAATGCTAAAATGCATATTCCGGGCCCGGCGCCGTGGCCTAGTGGCTAAAGTTCTCGCCTTGAACGCGCTGGGATCCTAAATAGGAGCCAGTTCTAATCCCGGCAGCTCTACTTCCTATCCAGCTCCCTGCTTGTGGCCTGGGAAAGCAGTCGAGGACGGCCCAAAGCCTTGGGATCCTGCACCCACGTGGGAGACCTGGAAGAAGCTCCTGGCTTCAGATCATTTGGGGAGTGAATCATCAGATGGAAGATCTTCCTGTCTCTCCTCCTCTCTCTGTATCTGACTTTGCAATGAAAATAAATAAATCTAAAAAAAAAAACGCACATTCCTGGGCTTCCTTCTTTCGCGAGAGAAATTTGTCCTGATCCAGGGGCTGTCTACTCTCAGCTGGAGCTGCCTGTGACACAGAAATCCTTACAGATCCTCATCAGTTGACTCTAAGTTGGCTCTATAATATCGCCAGCAGAAACCTTCCCTTTTTAAAGTTTTATTTTCGCATAGTTCTGTCAACAACGGACTCAAAGATCAAAAACTGAATCCAACTTTTCTGTGGTCATTTTTCCTTCCATCTAGAGCTTCAAAAACATAAATCCCTGGACAGAACTCGTTAACCAGTCCTTAGTTCTCTGTGGAAGAACATGCACAACTCTGATATACCACAGTCTCACAATCTCATGACAGTCAGAGAAAGAGACAATTCAGTCCCCTGGGGCCCGGCACGGTGGCGCAGTGGTTAGGGTTCTCGCCTTGCACACACCAGTGTCCCATGTGGTCCCCGGTTCTGATCCCAGCAGCCCTGCTTCCCATCCAGCTCCCTGCTTGTGGCCTGGAAAAGCAGTCGGGGAGAGCCCAACGCCTTGGGACCCTGCAGCCGAATGGGAGACCTGGAAGAGGCTCCTGGCTCCTGGCCTTCGGATTGGCACAGCACCCGCCATTGCTGCCGCTTGGGGAGTGAATTATTGGGTGAAGAATTGTCCTCTCAGTATAGCTGCCTTTCCAATAAAAACAAATAAATTTTTTAAAAAAATTTAGTCGCCTGGCATACTGATTAGTTAAGCGTAGAATGACATTCAGTCACGGTGGCCCTGTGAGATAACGCACCCCAGTGATATTTTAGCCCGTGTTTATCTATGACGTTCACACAACGAAGCCACCTAGCAGCCTATTCTGCACGAAGTACTACTGCCATTAAACCATTCGCAGTTGTATCAATCCTAAGAGGTAATCAAGTAAATCATGAGAAAAGTTTCCTCTAGTTAAAGAATCACCCAAATAAGGACTCTACCTGTACTTCTGGCACTTTCCCCATGCTCCAAGATTCTTTAAAAAAAAAGTTACAGGAGGCCTTTTTGACAATTTCTTTCCAAACCCTCTAGAACTTGGTAGGTGTCATTCTTTCAGATGATGTCCACAAGCAAGAAGTACAGAGCACCAGGACGGAAGAAAGTCTCAGAATCAGTCCGAGCACTGAGGCCCCGGTGGCGCCTCTGACACTAGCCCAGCACTGATTTGAAGAGTTTGCGGGAGCAGGTGCAAGGCTGTGATTCATAGATGCTGTTTAATAGGCAAGCTACGACCTGCGGGCTTCTTGGCTGTAAACCATTCTTGAAACAATGAGAAGTTACTGCACTGCCAGTCCCCTGAGTCAGAATAAAAAAGAAATCAGAGTTCTTCTAAATAAAGTTCTTTTTGGCTTCTGGAACAGGTATGGCTAAATGATGGGAAAAAACAGTTCAGGTTTAACACTCCAAGTCAGGTGAACAGACAGAGTAACACGGGAGACGTGGCCTCTGGTGTCGGCAGGTACGCACACTCCTGGGGCGCAGCAGACACACTGCAGCAAATTGTGTCCAAGCCCCGGCTTCTTCCACACAGTTCCCTCCACCTGGTTTATGTCCACACAGAGCCCCTGTGCAGTGGAACCCACTGGCATGTTCCTGCCCAGTGGGCTGATGACCAAGGATTGTAAGTGACAGTGCAGATCATGAACTGTGCCCGGGTGCACCTGGCACTGAGGAAGCACTTAAGAAAGCAGTTTTGACATTGATTCGGCATTCACCTACCTTTGAAGTCAGAAAATTTCTGCACTGTAGGATAATAGATAATCCAGGAGGCCTCTCAAGACACAGAGGAAGTACTTGTAAATTATTCCTACAGTGCATTAAAATGTCCATTCCCTTTTGACTGCTTTCCAAACATTGCTTAACAGTACACAGAGAGCCACAGAATGACCTGCTTAGCCAAAGGCAAACGCCACGCCCCAGGAACAGCAGCGTGTCCTGAATGTGCTCTATACCACATCTTGGTTTTCCTCCAAGGAAAGGCTTAGTAGTAGCCACACTGGGGGATTTACTTTTTGATTCTGAGTTATTTATGCAGACATAGGAAAAACATATTACAAATGGAATAAACCTGTTCAGTGACATTGAGCATTGTTTTAAAAACCATAAATGATTATACAAGTTAGTTAAAAAAAAAAGTATTTGATTTTTAAAGATTATAAAGAACTAACGCTTAAGAGAATTAAAAGGAAAACAAATGGGGGTCATCACTGTGACACTGTGACAGGGCACCCCATACAGGTGCTGGGTTTGAGTCCTGCTCCCTGATGACGTACCCGGAAAAGCGGAGGGAGATGGCCCAGGTGCTTGGATACCTGCTACAAGGGAGACCAGGATGTAGTTCCAGACTCTTTGCTTTCCAGTCACTGTGGCCATTCAGGAGTGATCCAGCACACAGAAGCTCTCTCTCTGTTTTTCAAACAAACAATCTTTACCATTTGTTTTCTTTAAAAATAATTTTTTTAAAGTGGTGGTTAAATATGCAATTCTGGAATCCAGGTGGTAAGTTTTAAATCCCAGCCCTATCCCTTTCTAGGTGTGTAATCAAAGGCAAACTGATTTCGTACCTGTTGCTAGAGCCAGTGGTAACCTACACATGGCATTATCATAAGGATTCATGGCAACAGAACAAGTGAAAGTGCTCAGAGGAGTTACATCATACGCTGTTAAGAATACCATTTCTTGCGCCCAGCGCCGTGGCCTCGCAGCTAAAGTCCTGGCCTTGAAAGCGCCGGAATCCCATATAGGTGCCAGCTCTAATCCCAGCAGCTCCGTTTTCCATCCAACTCCCTGCTTGTGGCGTGGGAAAGCAGTCGAGGACAGCTCAAAGCCTTGGGACTCTGCACCTGCGTGGGAGACCTGGAGGTTCCTGGCTCCTGGACTTCGGATTGGTGCAGCTCGGCCGTTGTGGTCATTTGGGAAGTGAATCAGCAGACGGAAGATCTTCCTTTCTCTCCTCCTCACTGTATATCTGACTTTCCAATAAAAATAAATAAATCTTAAAATGAGAAATGATATTCCTTTTTTTTTTAAGTAAATTACACTGATCACAAACAGAGCAGCTGAAATGAACTTATTAGCTGCATGACAACTACATACACTGAATATTCTATAAATGAAACGCTATTTGGTTGGTTGTATAATGTAAAAGCTAGTTTAGCCTAGTTCAGAACCACCTCCTTGCTTTCATGGCAAAGTGGCTGCACACGCTTACCATCATCTCAGAAAAGCTGCTCACCTTGGGAGGCGCTCACTGCAAACCAGACTTACAGCCGAGGGACACTGACCTGGACTTACAGCCGAGGGACACTGACCTGGACTTACAGCCGAGGGACACTGACCTGGACTTACAGCCGAGGGACACTGACCTGGACTTACAGCCGAGGGACACTGACCTGGACTTACAGCCGAGGGACACTGACCCGGACTTACAGCCGAGGGACACTGACCTGGACTTACAGCCGAGGGACACTGACCTGGACTTACAGCTGAGGGACACTGACCTACCTTCGCCTCACGCGTCGCTGTGCTTAGGCAGTGTCAAACAGCACCATCTGGCATGAACTAATGTTTCCGTGCCAGATGTTCATGCGAAAAGAAAAAGGGCTCATCAATTTCACCCCATGCACGCTGCATGACTCATCACATTTTGCTCATGAGCGATGCCCAGAAAACAGGACGGGTGGGCTCACTGCAACCTTCCTGGCCGGAGATGCAAATGTCTTCTGCTCTTTCCAGAAATTCTTCTCTTGGTACCTGTACCACACCACTGGGCTGCAGCTGCCAAGAGCACAGGGAACTGTGATGAAGATCTGGCTGAAGCTGTGATCCCATCTCCTATCTGCTGGGGCCTTAGGATGTCTCTCTCGTCACTGCCAAGCAGGGAAACACGCTTTTTAGTTCAACCTTAAAATGTGACTAAAGACAGCAGCCAGTGTAGGTAAAGCCCTCAGCCCACTGCACAGCTGCTCAAAACTGCTTCTGCTGTCTATTTAGAGTAACTAACTTTTCACAGGAACCCAAGTTTTATTCTACCCTAAAGTAGATAAGCAACACCTCATTCGTGGAAAAAATCCAACATTAGACACAGTAGAATGATTCTGGGCGTGTTACCTCAGTGAGCCCATTTTCACAACATGACATTCAACCAGCTGACCTGAATGGACAAACAGACCTACCAAGGAAACCTCCAAGTAGCTACTGTAATCTATGCCAAATCATCCTGCACTTAGAAATAACAGCTCCAAACTGACATTCCCAATGCTGCTGACACACGCCAGCCCTGCAGTCTCAAGGCTTCCTCCTCAGTGCACTGTGGAAGAGCACAGCGGGGCAGGGAGATTGCACACGACCCTCTGCTTCCCAGCGAGAGCAGGCCACTCAGCAGAGCAGGGAGGACACTGCCCTGGAGACAGAAAGAGGCCAGGGCTGTGGCTCATTAGCTGCGATTCTGAACTTGGAAGCCTTTTAGAGCCTGGACTTTCTCACTTTAAAACGGAAGTGACAAGGTCTGCAACAACAGGACTCCATCTGGTGGAGGCAGGGAGCACCTCAGGGTCCTCCTCCCTGCCAAGGGACTTGAACGTGATCAATGTGACACTGCTGGTCACACTTCACTTGTGCCAACGTACAGGCCTTTTCTGCAACAATGCTAAAGAGGCCGACCTTCCAGAAGGGACATGGCCAGAGCTCGAGCCCTTCCCATTTGCTCAGGTTGGCCTGAGGATCACACTTGGAGACATTCATTCAACAAAAACAAGGTAGTTTTACTGAGCAATTTTGTGTTATGAAGCACAGCTAAGGGATTTCAGGTTTCTAGAGGTTTAGAACTGAAGGACACATGTAAATATAATTTTTGTATTTCCTTACATTCTTCCTTAGCCTTTAAGAAAAAACAAACTTCTACAAAAGAAAATCTATTTAACAGAAGGCATAATCAAGCATTGAAAAAAAATCTACCAGTAAACCAGTAGGTTTTAACCTTGGATGTACTAGGGCAATTAAACTTAAAGAGGGTTTTTTAGGACAAGGGGGCCACCCTGTTGTTAGAACTACCCGTGGGGCTTAAAAAAAAAAAAAGCTCCATCCTGTGTATTTCAATTCTCCTGGTGAGAGACTACGGGTAGAATACAGTCAGAGCAGTGAGGCTGTTAAAGCTTGTCTTAGGATTCTGACTTACAGACAACGTGGATGGCCACCAGACAGCACAGATCCAGGAGCCCTGTGGGGGTGGCACAAACACCCACACCGTCTCAGTCCTTTACACACCTAACCACCTAACCTACCCACGGGTGCCTGGGGACAAGGGAAGGCCCCTGGCCGGCTGGGGACTGCAACCGGGTAACCTGACAAGAGACTGAGTGTTCTGCCAGATGCTGTTGCTGCAACGTGGAAAGAGCGGTCACTCTGCATCAGAGCCCTACTGCTCTCAACGGCGTCAGACACGGCCCGAGCAGCCTGAGTGCGGACCAGCACTCACGCAGCCCCTCAGCTGCCATGGGCTTCTGTCTCCAAGGAGTCTGACTAGGTTAAGCTGGGGTAGGTAAGATGGTGGCAGAAGTGTGGCTCTCTCAGTGGCTTTCTGTGGCCTAAGTCAGTGGAAGGGTTGTTTGCTTATCAGAGTTTGTGTTATTCCCCAATACTTCCCAGAGCAAGCCTCTGGTTGTTACCTGCTTCTTCCAAGAGATCTGGAAAAACCATGAGGCTCTTCCAAGCTCACTGCACTCAGAGGAAGTCCGCAGCAGGCATCTCTCCTGAAGTGTTTCCCGCCACCGAGCTGGGCGAGGCTGGAGCTGCAGTCAGGCAGGGCCAGCCGCGCGAGGCTCTTCCGCCTTGTCGCCTGAAGCCCCAGGCTCAGATGGGCACTGTGCGTGGCAAATTTCACGGGCCTCTTCCTTCCTTTGCAGGCTCCTCTTCTCAGGCGCCGGGTGCCATCTGTGCCACAGCCTCCTGCCTCGTGCGGGCTCCTGCATTCACAACCCTGGGCAGTGTGACAGTGAGCAGCTCTGCAGCAAGGCCTGCGACAGAAGCCAGACACCTGGGTGTGAGTTCTCAAGTAGCACGGCCTTGGTTGCTTGGCACATTTCTTCTAGAAACTAAAGGGAATGCACCCAGAAGTTCTTCCCAAGGAGGGCTACGTGGCCTAACGTATCAGAAGGCCCTTCTCCTGGGGTGGGCCTCTCTTCCCAGGCGACTCCCGAGCCTGCCCCAGCTCAGAGAAGCTTTGGTGGCCGCCAGGTGCTTGCACTCCAGGGACGGAATCTTGGGACTGCAGGCAGCAAGCAGCCCTCAACAGGGCCTGAGGACAGCAGGGCGAGCACATCCTCACTGCTGGGAACCTTGCTGTCACACTCCACAGCACAGGGTCCGTTCTGGAAGGAACGGTCATACGCTGGGAGAAAGAGCGTGCAGAGAACGGCAGCCCTAGCCGAGACAAACGTTCCCTTTGCACAAAAACTGACCCGAATGCTCACTTACAGGCAGACAGGCTGAGAGAAACAGAGGTGTTACCGTTTTTTTTTTAATCACTACCGCGGGAGTTTTGAAGTCCACATTAGCATAATGCACAGGGAGAGGCCCACGGACAAGGTGGCCCTGCTCTCCGGGTAACAACATCAACAGGACAAAAATGCATTCAAATGTGTTTTTTTTTTAAATGCTACTAGCTACGAGATAACTTTAAACAGTTAAGATAGTACCACACACTTTCAAAGCCAGTTCCCACCAGTATTCCACTAGTACTGGCGTGTCAGCACGTTCTGGGCTGCCGGACCCTCCGTCACCGACAACACGGGCTGGGATGGCCTCCGCTGTGTGGACCAGCCAGGTGCGCACCCCGCTGCTTGACAGCTAAGCCCTGGCAGTTCCTGGAACTCACCGTTACCTTCAGTTCTAAACCTAAGAGAGAGGGTTTGAAGGATTCCAAAAACACTACAGTTCAGCTGCATACACAGCCAGCCGAGTGTTTCGGGCTTTCTCCTAAAAGCAAAAACACTCATAAACTGTTCGTCACCGACACTTCTCTAAAGTTAAGGAAAAATCTAATGGAGGAGCGCATCAAACAACCATACACCGAGAACATGAAATGTCCTTTCATTCTCTCCTTGGATTTTCTTTTCCAATCAATTAACAAATGTTCCTTCGCTTGCATTGACTCATTCTCCCTAAACTATCCCCAAACCTCGAGGGCCACAGAGCAGCAAGCGCAGGTTGGGACGCGGCGGTCCCCCAAGGGCAACACGGCCAAATGGGGCATTTCTCGGCCCTCCGCCCCTCTCCCTTCCCGCAGCGGGAGCGCCACGAGCCCCGGCCCGGGCACCGCCGGGGGCCGACAATGCCGGAGGCGCCCGGGGCGTCCGGGCTCACGGCGCAGCCGCTTCCCCGCGACGGCGGGCGTGGCCGGGGCCGCCGCGACCCCGCGCAGCGCAGCGAGCATCCCCGCTCGGCGCCGAGGCCCGCAGGAGGCTTTAAAAATGGCCTCCTGACGACACTTCCTGCTCGGGCCGCCTCGTTCGAACGGCTGGGGGGCGGGGAGCGCAGCCGCCGGGGTCGGCGCCGTACAAAGGCGGCCAGGCCGGCGGGGCCCGGGCGCCCGGCACGTCAGGGCCCGAGCCCGCCGCCGCCCGGCCCGGCCCGCCGCCCGCCACGCTCGCGGCCCGGCCCCCGCAGCGGCTCCCCGGGCGCCGGCCGGCGGCCTCCGCACGCCGGGCGGCCGGGCTCGCGTCCCCGCCCCGTGAGGCCCGCGCCGGCCATCGCGCCCCGGCCGCGCCTGCCCCCGGCGCGCGCCCACCCCGGGCTCCCCGGCCTCCCGCTCAGCCACTCACCCCGCCGGGCCGGGGCCCCGAGCCGCGGCCACGGCCGTCTACACCGCCGGCCCAGCCGCCGCCGCCGCGCCGCCGCCGCCGCCGCGCCCGCGGTAGATCCCTACCCGGGGAAGGCGGAGCCAGGCCGGGCACGCGTGCGCAGTGCGGCGCGCCCTGAGGGGAGCCGGCGGCCCAGGTCCCTAAGGCCGGGCCGGGCCGGGCCGCGCGAGGAGAAGGCCGCGCCGAGCCGGGTCCGCGCCGAGCCGGGCTCACACCTCCTCCGCCTGAGGAGAACCGGCGGGACCGGGCGACGCCTGCCCTCAGGCAGCGTTGAGTCCTGCGGCCGGTGAGTGAAGAAGCCCGGGCGGGCGTCCGCCTTGCCAGCCCCTCCCCTAGAGAGCATCAGCGCGGGGAGCCGGCCTTGGGGCCGTGGGTTCGAGTCCCGGCTCCCCTCCCGGCTGACACGCCGCTCAGTCGCCGCAAGGCCCCCGTGTGGGGTCTGAGCCCGGGGAGCTCACTGCGCGCCCGCGCCCTGTTCCCGTCTCCTGGCCGGTCGTGGGCCCGGGCGGGGAGCCGAGAGCCCGTCCCAGGTACGCCTGGGGAGCCCTCGCGTGGATGTGTGTCCCGAGTGACCGCCAGAGGCCACGGCCGGGCCCTGCGACGGGACGGCCAGCCGTGGACAGCCGGCACCCGTCCTGCGCGGGAACGCCGAGCCCCACGACCTCGCTCCTCCGGAGGGGACCGCTGCTCAAAAGGCCACGTTCACGCGTGGCGTGGGGTGGGAAGGGCGTTGACAACCTGGCCCCGCGTGGCGGGAACCCCTGGGGCTCCTGGCCGGTCCCGCGTGGGGACAGCTGCGGCGCCTGGGCTGTCCGAAGCTCAGTTTTTCCTTAGAATTCACCGAGCTGCAGTGTCTCTCACAAGCGAGTTGTCCGCAATAAGCAGGAGAGCCAGACGAGACTGGCGGACAGGGGACCCAGGCTGAGGCAGATGAGCGGGTTGCGGGGTGATCGCAGCCGACACGCGGGGCGGGGAGGCACACCCCCGCAGGAGCCTTCGGGTCCAAGGCTTGTTCTCCCCGCAAGCCCGGAGGAAGTGGCCACCCGGACCTGTTAGACTGATGGCTGCTTTTCGTGTCCCCCACGGCCATCTTCCAGCCTACTTTGCCTAACTCTGAAATCACAAATCGCCCTTGCTTCAATTATGTTCCCCCCTGGCCCGAAGATGCTGACACCCGCCCTCAGTCAGTACCTAAGACCCTCAGCTTACTGGCAATCCAATTCCTCCTATTTTGTTTTTTAATTTTATGGTACAATTCCATAGGCTCTGGGATTCTCCTACGCCAGCCTCAAATTCCCTACCCTCAATTAATTCCCCCCGTATTATTAGTAAAGTATGATACTTCATAAGCAGTCGTAAGTCCCTCATCCTGTTATTTAAGTGTATCCTGACATTGTCGGTACAAGACAATGGCAGACAGTCCAGCATCCTGTTGTCAAGATGTGTCCAACAGTTTCTTCGGGAGTCCATCTTTGATTTGGAAGTAGAGATGCATACTGCATTGTATCCTCACATCTGGATATGATAGCCTCTGTTACGCAGTTACTGTACATTCCCTTAAATGAGAAACAAAATCAGCAGCAGGGATAAAGATAAAACCGGTCCTCTCCGTTCCAATGTGATGGGTATTCTGGAAAGAAGAGGAGAAGCAGCCCAGGAATGTGACAGGACAGACGACACTGCGAACAGGCTGAGCACGGCCTGCCACAGCTCGAGGCAGGGAGGTCGGGGCCTGTGAGAAGCCGGACGCAGCCACCACGGCCACGCCGTCCTGGCTGCCCAGGTTGGGAGAGGAGCGTGTCCCTGGTTCTGCCTCCTTGCCGGAAGCCTGGAGATGGTGCGTGTTTGTAGGGCTCTGGGAAGCTGCCCGAGGTGTAGGAGACACGAGGGAAGGCGGCTAAGAGCTGACAGACGCTGGACACACAGCGGGTAGCCCCGGACCCTCGGGGGCGCCCACAACCAGCCGCAGCCTTCCCCGCACCTGCCTGGCACCCACTGGCCCACGCCGTCCTGTTTCCTCCAGCAACCTCTAGCGCTCCTGGATATGGATGCTGCCTCACGGAGCCCCCACTGACCCCGAGAAAAGGGCCAGGCCTCCAACACCAGGGGTGGCACACACAGGACACCTCCAGCTCTTCAAGGCTTTGGGGAAACTGGAGAGCCTACGCAACCGTTTGACCTGAAAACATGCCGAGAGCTTCTGGAAGCCTTAGGCTGTCTGAATGAAGAACAGCGTCTAGGCTCAGGCTGCACTAACCCAGCCCTGGGCGCAGGGAGGGCTCTCCCCCACCCCGCCCCGGCCCCTGCCACCTTGTGACCTTGGGCGAGATCGCCCATCTCTGCGAAGTTTTATGCAACTGCAAACTAGGAGTGATTGGAGCCACCAGCACCCGCCCGGGGCTAGGATCAGGACCCGTCCTGCCCTGCGTCCCGCCCAGCGGCGTTGCCCCTTGCTGCAGCAGGCCGGGGCACAGCATGCACCTGCTCGGGCCCGGCCCGGCGAGCCGCCCATCGCGCAGGCGCGGCCGGTAGGCGCCTCGCGAGCTCGCTGCAGTGCCGCCGGCGGCCGGTGGCGTCGCTGCGGAGCCGCGCTGGGGGCTCTGAGCCGGTAGAGCTCTACTCGCACCTCTACCCGCACCCGGCGCCCCCGCACCCGGCGCCCCCGCACCCGGCACCCCCGCACCTGGCCGCCCCGCCCTCTGAGGATGGGGACGCGCTGCTTGGCTTTCGGTTCGCTCAGGCGCCGGCCTGGGAGCTGCGAGTCCCGTCTCCCGGCTGCTGTCCCACCTGGACGCACGGCTGACTTGTCCGTCGCCGAAGGCCTGGGATCCAGACACGCTGGTCATTCAGCTCGCCCGGCGATCTGGCCGAGCCGGTCGGACCCGCCAGCCTCCTAGCCGAGACCAGGGCTGTGCGAAGCGTGTTCGGCTCCTAGGAATGAGATGGGTGCGGAACGGATGATGAGGGCCGCTAGGGCTTTCCGATAAGCGGCAAGCAGGCGCGGCGAACAGATGCAAACTCGGGGTGGGCGCGCGGAGGTGCAGAAAGGTGGGAGTAGCAGGGAGGTCTAGCCTGCTGAGGGGCCTCGTTCCCTCGCTTTCCCAGCCGCACACCCTCGCTGCAGGATCCAGAGCGGCCGTCTACATAGCCCAGGGGTCAGCTCTTTCAAGCCTTTGCAGGACCCGGCGGTCCTATGTGGGAAGTCCCTTTTCTGCCTCCGTGTTACCTCGTGCTGTCCTGCTGCCCCACTGCCCCCTCGCACTCCCGGCTGCTCCTGGGACCCCAAACCTTGTCTCCAAGACAGTCCCGGTCTCCAGGGACAGCACTTCCCCTCACTGCCGCACTGCGTGTTTTAGATGCTCTGTGATGCCCCCAAGTCCTTTTGCTGGGTCCTTATAAGCTTCCCCACTGCACCGTAAGCCAGCGCCTGCTTTGTCCACCCTTACATTGTCAGTGGCGGAGGCGAAGGCCTGGCAGCCGGCGCCACTCCAGTGGAGTGACATTTAGAATTTAAAAATAAGTTCTAGTTTTGGTGACGAGAGCGGAATCCCTAGTCCAGGGATAGCGCTGCATCCGCTTACCCCTCTGAAGGTTGTGGGGGTCATGACAGCACCTCTTCAAAGCACGATGGAGTGACTAAACGCTTGTACAAGACTTACACGATGCTGTCCTGGCGGGCCAGGCATGACCACAACAGTGTAAACACCCCTCCCCTCCAGCCCCATTCCAGAAGCTGAAAGAAGCAAAGGGCGATTCCCACTTGCACTGTGTGACCAGCCAGGCTTGGCTGAGGTTTCAGCTCCTGGGCAGAAGCAGGCTGGGAAGCAGCAGCAGCTGATGTGCTGCGGGTGTGGCGGCCGGGGGAGGAGGAGCTCAGACGTGCAACCGGGAGCTGCAGCTCTCTTCCTCTCACACACCACGGGCCAAAGCGAATCCCTGACCACACGCCCTATTGCAGGAGACAGAGGGGTGCCACTCTGCTGCGTCTCTTGGGCACATGGCAATTTCTTCGAGAATAACAGCTGCTGCTACAAATATGGCTATTCATTCTGGAAGTCTCTCTTTTTTAGTGCACCATGTACATCACGGATGATGAAAAGCTGGCAAGGCCGAGGTTACAGACATTGAGATCCAGCACCCGCCTCCCTGCCCTCGGTTAGAGCTCTACATTCCTGGAGTGGGTCTGAGGCATGTGCTGGCAACAGATCTCTTGGGGTTCCTGACAAAGTCTGGATGTCCCACCTCCACTTAATTGACTTAATTTGCACAAGAAAGCAAACTGCGCTGTTACTGTGCCTGGCACTTCGAGTAAAGCAGGTCAACTGAGCTGGTGTTTTTGGGAAAGGAAAGCAGTGGGCAAAGCGTGAGCTAAAGTGATACGCAGAATCGGCCGCCGCGTCCTTAC